TTAAATGAGTTATCCCCATTAGAGATGCTTTTAGTTTATGGGGTTGGTTTGTTGTTAGGAGTTTGATTTTAAAAATTGGGGTCTCTCCGACAGAGATAGATTGTGATTTTGGATACAAACTCTTGGTTTGAGTTGTTTGGCCAGTTTTTGTATGGTGTTGGAAGTCTAGTATACATAGTTTTCCGCTATTTAGGAGTTTGGGTTGATCTCACTAACCTTTAGTGTGTAGTTGTTTGTCTAGGTTGGGTAATCTTTTATTATACTATGTTTATTTCGATGAATATTTTTCAGCCTTCTTCCACCACCTTTTAGTCTAGCCAATACTAAACTCTTGCATGTGATCTTTCATAATTAGTTCTTGTAACGCTAACCTTGTGTGGAAATGCAAAGTTCTAGATTTAGACTATTTAAGTTAAAGATTAGGTGGATATGAGTTAAGATTCTCGATCGTGGTTATGTTATTTGGTTATTCGTTGTATTTGGGTCTATGGTGTGTGGGTTCTCTTTGCCTTGACAGTGATTTATGAGCTTTGTCGTTTCGCGTCTATTGTTCTTTCTGCACTCACTGTTTTTTTTGTGAGTGTCTCGTGTTACAATTTAAATGGAAGCTCGTTTTTGTAGATTTATGAGTTTAAATCGTATCCATGGCTTGGTTTGTATTCTCTATGAATAGTTATGTTTGTCCACCGGCTTAGTTTCAGGGTCATTCCTGTTTTAGATGTAAGGTTTTCTCGTTCGGGCTATCTTTTCTCTGTTATGGACTACTGGTTTGGGTATTGTACACATTGATAGCTGGCTTGTAACTTTAGTCTAGCTCGCGGGTCACAGCCTATGTTAACATCTCATATAATGAATAAATAAAATTGAAAAAATGGTGTTTTTATAAAATTTTTGAAAGTATGGCGTTTTTGAAAAATGATACTTTAAAATATTTCTAGCCGAAATAATTTAGTTGAAATAATTTAGTTGGAGTATTTTTTTGGGGGTTTATTACATGAAAGCTTCCCATTACCTTCCAAAACAGCCGGGAAGATCGATCATCTTCTTCCACCTACGACACAAAACACTTCCGAATCCGTAGAGGC